ATTTTATTTATGTATAATATATTTATATTTATATATATGTATACATTATTAATGAAAAAAAAATATATATATCTTGTTAAAATTAATAATACCAAAAAATTATACAAATATTATATTTATATACGTATATAGTAAAATAATTAAAAATGTAAGTATAATAACTTTTTTCTTGCTTTTTATATTTTATGCATTTCTTAAAGGAAATGAAACCCAAATTCAAAAAAAAAACCCACAAAAGAAATTCTCAAAGTAAATAGTTATTTATCGCGACGATCTATTAGTATCAACGGTAAATTAACAACTGAATTTAATATACTAAAAAAACACAAAAAATCTATAATACAATCCAAAAAAAAATTCAATATACTTGAAAAAGGTATACTTAAAGAGAAAAAAAAAGAATAACAGTAAAATATAAGAAAAAAAATTTTTTTTGTTCTCTATTAAAAAATAAAGCATTCAGAGACCTTTCCAATTTCAATTTATGTTGTTGATGTTATTTTACCACTACTACAAAAGCAAGAAACAATAGAAAAACTACATACATACAAGAAAACACAAAATTAACAAATTGTTAACAATGAAAATGTCCTTTTATTTTTTTGTATGTTTTTTTTTTCCTTATTTTAAATTTGTATTCATTAATCATTATGTTTCTTTACCGTTATCATTTTATTTTCTTCTATATATATATATATACAAATAAATTCATTTTCACTAAAATTAAACATGTATAAAATTTCAAAGTTGGTCACACAATCAAACAACTATCGGTACATAAATTGAAATGAACATTAAAAGCTTTGAAATTATTTATTTATTTTTAACATATATATATGTATATATATATTCTTATATCTTTATAACATATATCTTTATAACATTTTGAAAATACTCTCTTTTTTAAAAAAAAATCCTTTAAATTTGAATATAATACGTACTGTCAGTGCTTATTTAATGAAATACTTCAATTTTCAAACTTCTTAAACACATAAGGGTATAAGTATATAAGAACATATTATATTCCACATACATAATTACAATAAATAATATTACATATGTGTGGACATAAAATATATATATATATATATGTGTGTATCTAATCACACTGACACAGTTTTGTTTTTTTTCACTGCACAATATAAACATTATTGAGAGTTAAGAATTATCAACTATAATCTGTATTGTCTATACATTAGGTAAGGCACTAGAAAACTCAATTAAAATTTTTGTAAAAATTTAAATAACTTATAAAAATTTAGATTTTCATAAATGTTAAAGATTCATATTCAATTTCCAATTCAGTATTTCTTATAATTGTAAATTATGTACTATCACTTAAGAAAAATAATATAGACTTTCATCGATATAAATCATTTCATGTAAAATTATGTATTTTGAATATTACTGTATATAAATTCAGATTTTAAAAAGATAAACAAAAATAACGGAAATTTAAGAAATTACAAAATTTCCTTTTCTTACTCCAGCTTTTTATAACTTCTACATAATTCGTTTAAAAATTTCGTTTTTATCTCATCTTCGAAAATATTTTATGTTGGAGAAACCAAATTTCGAAAAAAAAAATTTCACCATTATTTACTTAACATAAAACTTCAAAATTCTCCTACGCTTTAAAATTCATTAACTAAATTGTTTTTTAAAAGCTTCATTAGTTTAAGCTTAAAATTTCAATTTAAGTCTTCGCACTTTTATTTGCACAATTTTAATGCTTATGTAAAATTGAAGTTTGTGTAAAATTTGGAAATTTTGTCTATTTATCTATTTTTATACTTTTCTGTTCTTACAATTTTAAGGACACTAGTAAGCTTTTGGTTAACATAACTATAAGCGTGTAAATTTATCTCTTAACACAGTTCAATTAAATTTGGTAAGAGCCAGAACTCAAATATTAAATTTCAAGAAATTCCATTAATTAGCTGCGTAGATACGGTAAAAAATGTAAAACCGGCACCCAATTCATTTTCCGATCACTGGTCTTTCCAAAAAAATTTATAGAATCATTGTTTTAACACGTCTAATTTAAACATTAAATTTCAATGAAACCGGTTGGTTATTTCTCTTTATATACGCAAAAATGTATAAACATCCAGTTGCTGGCACCTGATTTCTTCCAAAAGTGAGGACGTTTTGCTGACGGTCGAATGAAACTTAAGACAAACGGTCGAATGAACCGAATGATGAAATATCAAGTAAATCCGTTGAATATTTTTTTCGAAATGATCAAAAATGTAAAACAGGCCCACCAAAAGTCCAGTTCCCGAGACCTGATATATCCTAAAAGTTGATCAATCCGTGACATAGTCGAAATATAAAACTCACATATAAAATTTCATGAAAACATCATTCTTCAGTTCAGCTGAACTTGAGATGCACGTGTGACAGATAAATCGACCGACACACAGACAGATAAATCAAAAGACAGTCAGACCGACATCTCTTTAAAAATAGTTTATTTACGCTTCCCTGCTATGGGGAAGTGCGTTCCCACCAAAAACTCGACATCCGAATTTTGGTGCCTTCAAACAACCTCCCTTTTTGTATGCAATGTAAATATTATTCTATCTATATTCTAATTCTCTCTCTTCTATCTGTCTATTCTAATCATCTAATGAAAATACTATTGTTAAAAAACCAATTTTCAAAGTACTATAAAGTTCGTTCTATGATTCATTGCTGAATAGCCTAATGACCCACTTTTCCAGTGAATACCTAAGAGTACCATTATGTTTAGAAAAATTATGTCCATGTTAGCCAAAAATCTGCTAAAAACAGTCTGCCTTTTATGTAGGTCTCTTCCTTCTAAACCGATTGCGATAAAGAATTCTTAAAAAAAAAATGTACATACTGGTGCATGCACGAATCAATACAGAGTACCAAAAACAAAGATGTGAGCAACATAGGCTGCATGAGATTATGTGTTTGGATCTTAACAACTAAGAGTCTAGCCTCCGAAAAGAATAAGCGAGATGCCACCGGTTTGTTGATCATTCGGAAAGGCATATTTTGCTCACTTCGATCCGTTTACTTGCAATAAACCTTGGATATACTTACATAAATTAAAATTATAGAAATTTTTTTAAATATTTAGTACATTTCAATAACTATTGTTAAGTTGTTAAAACAAACATCATAGGTTTTATCTTTCACCAAAGCCTTTAAAATTTTAAAATCGAAATGGTTTTTTATTTATCAGGCGCGTCATAAAAGATATTTTAAAAGACAAATAGGAGAAAAATATCCAAAATTCCGCAAGTAAACAAAATACAAAGTATTGTAAATTTCGATTTTGTTAGTAAAATTTTTCTCTCACTTTGGCTACTCTCACTTTGTTTTCTTTCTTACTATTATGACTATTTTTTTAAACCGTAAGTTGCCATGAAACATATGTATGTTTGGAATACAAAAAATACTTCAAAAACCATTGTTTTCATACAACAATTTGAATTTGAATAAATTGCTATATACATATGTATACATTTTAATTAATATTAGGCAATTATTAAATAAATAATATTAGCAATTATAAAATTTAATATGAATATTCAAAAGATTATTAATTCGAAAGATCAGTCTAAATATATTCCAGATTTGCCAATTAACCATTATCAAAGTATTTTGGAAAAATTAGCTGCTGCAAAAATAATTAACCCAGCACAATCAACTTCACCTCCAATATTGGAGGATATAAATTATAATAAACATTTTAAAAAAAATTTTGTAGGAAAAAATATTGAGAACAATGAAAACAAAGTTAATTTAGATTGCATAAGCACACCAACCAGACCTTTTCATGATAATGGCAACAGTGTAGAAGATTTTTTTGAAGATAACACCTTCCTTCAAGAAGAGTTTTCTACATCAATTGATGAAGAAATTAAATCTTTTAATGCAAGAAATAAACAAACCGTTAACCAAAATGAGGAAAAATGCTCAAAAAATGAATTGAATGATGTTACTAACGGAGTAAATTATATTAATAGAGGTAAATAAAAAACATCTTAAAATATTCTATGTTTGGATGTAAATAATAATATCAATATGTTTAAACAACAAACCTGATTTTGGTAATAAAAAATTTTACGTATACAACGAGAATTTCTATAAATAGAATAAATAGTATTGTATAAGTATTTTATGATTAAGTTAACAATTTATTTTAAGACAATACATTTGTAGAAAAAGAAACACAAATACTTAAGGAAGAATCTTGTATTTTGGATAACGAAGATAAAAAAATTGAAAGTTTGTTAAAATTGATCGATTATGAAGCAAACAAACAAAAATTTCCAATAAATGCCGCTTCAAATTGTATTAACAGCACTTTGATCAAATATTCTCATTCTGATCAATATGATAGACATGATCAATTAAGTTTTGAACAATTTTTTCAAAGATCAGATTATTACGTCTATTTAATATTGATTATAGCTTATGTGATCCTTATACTATTAAGAGCTACTGAGAAAATATTAATATTTATTAAAATATTGTTAAATAATGCTCTTTTAGTATGCTGGAATTATCTACAAAATAATTTACGTTATAATGGATCTACATCTAATCTATTGATTTCATTTATGATCATACCAATTTCTTTCATTCTCGCAATTACATATACTGGATGCTGCATTGTGCATTTGATAAACAAGGTATTTTTGCTAAAACTTCCAAAACAAATAGTCACACAATCAAATTTGTCGAAATAAATGGCTCCAGAAGCAAATGAAACAGAATTTTTTTTAAAAAAAATGTGTCTTAGCTTTTAAAATAGCTGCGTATTTTGAACTATAACTTAATATATTGCACAAAAAATGAATCAAATTCAATTCTAATAAAAGAATAATTTCTGATAAATTTTGGGCAGGCTTTCATTTGAATTTTTAAATACCAATTAATTAAATTTTTCGTAATTAGTGGATACTATTTTCATTGAATTGAATCAGGTACAATATAAAAAATATAACAAATTCTTTCAAATATGAATTTATTTAAAGAAAAATATGTTTTTATACCACAAGTTTAAGCTGGATACTAAAAACGTAAACTGAACTTACACTTACATATAAAATTTTCATTATTTTTCTTAACTATTTTAAACAAATTCTTTAATTAGGAATTGTAAGTACATCTCTTTTTTGTACATCGGAACTCGAACAACTTGTTTCGTTTGTATTTAATCCACTATCAAATGTGTTAGAATTTGAGCTACTTTCGTTTAAAATGTGTTTGCTAGAATTCGAGACTTCAGCCGAGTTATTGTCGTGATATGTTTCCAATTCAGTACTCATCTTTAATTTTTTACATTCGGTCTCTGATTCCGAATCACTATCTGACCCTGAACTTAAATCATCATCAAACCAAAGGTTCGGTTTTCTTTTCGTAGTAATCGTTTCCGCTTTTCTCTTAGCAATACTATTTTCCGCTTTTTTAAATCCTTCTTCCACTGCTTCGCTTATTTTTTCCGTAAGTTCAGATCGTGCGTTTTCATAATTAATATCTTTGAATTCGTGCTTGGGAACCGCTATTAATCTCTCCAGCTTCCTTTTCTTTCGTTCTTTTGCTTCTTCTTCTCTTTCTTTTTGCTTCTCTAGCCATGCTTTTAACTTTTTCTCCTCATTAATATCACGGAGCCGTCTACCACTCAAATCTCTACAAGCTTCTTTGTTTGTTGTTTTCTCAATCTGAGCTCCAATTGCTCTTAGCATTGAACCAAAACCCCCTTTTCCACCATTTACTTTGAGGCTGATTTCAGTGTCAAAATTAATCCGAGTTGAAAATTCAGTAGTATTCGTTAACAATTTTCCATTATAGAGCAAATAATAGTCCTCTTTTGTAAGATTCTGGAACACACAAAATATACTAATCAATAATCTACACATTTTCACTATCTTACAAAAGTTAATACTCACGGTTAAATTGAATACGCTTTCCAATATGTCTTCGTAAGACTTCCCATTATGTCTTAAAAACGGAATCTTATTCAAATATACGGTGTAATTCATTTTTATGAAACAATTATTAAATTATTTATTAACGTTTATGTTTTTAGTTTTATCTTGTAAATGCAAAAATTTGACGGTTCTCTATTAAAAAGAAATCACAAGTGTCAGAACCTATTATGACATTCTGAAACAGGAATGCCAGTAGATGATTAATATCTTATGTAATTACTTTTCAAAATCATAGCTATACCTCATATTTTAAAATATGATTTCCATGATAATTGATTTCTAGAACACGTTAATTTTCACATTTTACATTTATTTATATTACATTTATGAACACATTTTACGTTTATTTTCACCTAGATGGAAAAAGTCATTTCTTATATTTGCAATAAATCATTAAAACAACTTACTTTATGCCTATAATAACATCTTTCAACTCAAAAATAGGGTTGCATATAAATGTGCGTACATACTTTCTATTTTTCTCAAGCGAAACAAGTATTTTTTTTAATTAATGAGAATTTTATTCGTGAATATTTTTTGTTTTTTATTAGCGAACTTATTCGTTTGCATAAAACGGATTATTCGTAAAACTAATACCATCCTAAACTATTGACAATACCATACAATAGTTAAAATGAATGACAAAATTTTTTATCGCAAAAAAATGATTGTTAATATTGAAGTTTTTAACGTATTTTAAGTTTTAGAATTATAAAAAGTCTTAAACAAAACGTGTGTATTTTATTGTCATTAAAATAAAAAATGTTACGTGCTTAGAATTGTTACGTGTTTATATATGTATATTAAAATAAATTATCCACATATTCATCTTTCTTATAGCACTTAAGTATAACATGATAACCGGAGTTACTCCAGTTGTAGAAGAAAAAAACCATATTTACCAAAACCCTGACCTGCTGCCAGTAAACGTATTGAAAAAATTATTTGATACACTAATCTTTTAATTTTCAAATTTTTAAAATATAAATTAACTTTAAGAACCACATAAAACAACAAAAAGAAGGAGAAGAAAAAAAAATTTTTAAGACAAATCAACTTTTTAAAAATATACCTTTAGTTTTATATGAAATCTGATAATGAAAAAAACACGCTCAAATTCGCCGCATCTAAAATTTAAATTTTTTGGCACAAAGTGTAACCGCTGCAATAGCTTTCTAGGTATTTTGGTAACGAAACGAAAATGTAAACATATCGGAAAAATGTCAACAAAATCACATGTATTTGAGCTTTTGCTACTAAACTTTAATTTGTTTTACTTTGTTTATTATTGTGACACAAGCACAAAGCTAAATTAACAAATTAAAATCCATTAATGGACTCATCGGAATCAGAAGAAAACTCAGATATAGAGCCGACAAAAGAAGATGACCAAGAAAGGGTAATATGCATGTACCTTGCTTCTAACATAAATATAACAATATGTATGAATAATGTATATGAATTCGAATTTAGACTGCTATCCGTGAAGAACTTTCCTCAATGTCGTTTGAGGACCTTATGAAACTTAAAGATGAATTGGGATCTAAAGTGTACAATGAAGCTATTTTTGGAAGCAAAAATAAAAAAATTTCAAAAATCAACAAATCTGATTTTAAAAGAGCAAATAAGAACAGACCACGAGAAATATCTTCAAAGCGACAAGTCCCTTTTTTGGGAGTAGAATTGAGAAAGCCACTTACAGCTACCGAAACACGAGACCCTCGATATGATGAAAAGTGTGGAGAGTATAGTTCATCTGTGTTTAAAAATAATTACTCTTTTGTAAATGAAATACGTGAAAATGAATTGCAAAAATTAAAAAATAAATTAAAAAAAGCATCAGGAGAAGAAAAATCTGAAATAAAATTTGCTATACAGCGATTAGAAAATCAGTTGCGAGAAGAAAAAGCTTGGAAAACCCGAGAGTCAATCAAAAATGAAGCAATAAAAGAAATTCAAATTGCTAAAAAAGAAGGCCGAAAACCACACTATGCAACCAAAAGTATAGTTTTCCCAATTCAAGCGTTCAAATCTTTTATTAAACTTTTTTTCAGAGGAACTACGTACAAAAGAACTTGTCAAACAATTTGAGGATTTAAAAAGTTCTGGACGTCTTGCTAAACACTTAGAGAAAAAGCGGAAAAAGAATATCGTAAAAGACAGAAAAAAAATTGAGCTTAATGTTTGACTTAAATATAATTTTAAATTTATTTACTAATACAAAATAAATGTATAAGAAATTGATTATCCTGTTCTTAACATTTTTGCTTCACGTTTTTCTTGCAATTCCTTACGTTGTTCTTCTACAACAATTTTTCGTTCTTCTAAAAATTTTGAATACTCTTGAGGATCTAAATGTCGAACTATTTTAACTCCGCATGTTCTAGCTACTCCAACTAACATATTACACATTTGCTAAAACAATAATGATCAATCATAATTTAAATATAATACTTTGAGTTTTACAAACTTACTTCCATAGTCAAAAGGGCATTGGGTGGATCTTGTATCTTTATTGTAGCTATTTCGTATAGGTGTTTTAGTGTAATTTTCCCAGCGATTTCCTTTCCGGGTTCCATAGCACCCTTTTGAATCCCTGCAGCTTGCTTAATAAAAAATGTAGCTGGAGAAGAGTGAATATCTAATTCATAAGTCCTGTCAGCATTTAAAGAAATACGGCATGGTAGTGGTATGCCTTCTTTATAATCTTTTGTGCGCTCATTGAAATCTTTGCAAAATGCAGCAATATTTATTCCTCTCTGTTTTGTAATAAAAAAATTATAAAAGGCTATAAATTTTTTATGGAGAAACAATAAATGCATAAATATATATGTACACATCTACATACCTGACCAAGTTGCGGTCCCAATGGTGGATTGGCTGCTGCCATTCCGGCTGGTATATTTGTTCTCAATTTAGTTGTATGTGCTACTTTATCTACAACCTTCTTTAGAGATTTCAGTTTTCCAGCAGCTTTAGACATATTTAATTACTAAAATTTTATAAGAAATAAGATTTTTTTGCTAAAATTTTATAAGAAACCCCAAAAAGCTTAATAACTCTACAGCAACATAATAAAAATAGGTTAATTTTTGTTTTATAAAAAAACAGCTGATATTACTAACCGATTTGACTGTTCACACTTGTGAACTTTTATTTTCACCTGAAATGGAATAGTTCATAATATTTGAAACATTATGCTGATGAGTGCTTACGTTTATGGGAAAAAAAGAATGCACAAATAAAAAATTTTTCAGAAATTTAAGACACTCAGTTTTTTGCCGAATTTTGTGCATTCTTATATTTTTCCCCCAATGTTTTTTCTTTCAATCATTAGCAGGCTAAGTGATTTGAACCACAGAAATCCAAAATATACATATCATTTTCTAAATGCACGTTCACGCACTTATTGACATTTACTTTGGTTAGTGGGCGAATTTATGAGAAAAAGTGTACTTACTTAATACTAAGTGACAATTTCCAAAAACCTGAATCAGTAAACAAAGCAGTTATGCAGTCTAGAGTACTTACCTAAAATTGGGTTTAAAGTTTTAAATTTTGAAAATCCAGTTTTTTGCTTCAAAAAAATATTTGTTGCAAATTATTCATAAAATGTTATTAAATGGAACAGGAACTTTTTTTTACAATATGTTCCAAATAAGTAAACAAATAGTATTATTTCAATGTTGATATATGTTGTTCATCCATTATTAAAGTTTTTCTATCAAAATGTTAAAAATATATTAATTAACATTTTTTCTTGGTAGTCTTTTGTGAGGTCATTGAAATCTTTACAAAATACAAAAATATTTAATTCCATCTCAAAGTTTCTATTTTACTCTGCAATAGCCTATGCAATCATATTATGCAATGGAGAAAGTTTACGCTACAAATTTAGTAACTGCTACGAGTTGAAGTAAATTATCTTTTTTTATCACTATGAACTTAAAATAAGAAAATTCAACTTTTACGGATTAAACTGTCTTTATATCCGGCGGAAATGTGCATTCTTACAATTTTAAGAAAAAAATGACAATCTTTTCAATAGATGAATATGTACTTTTAATTGGTACATTAACAATTCTAGATGAAACGAGTTGTATTTTCAATAAAAGGAACATGCAGGTGTAACATAAATATTCATTATCTGGTAATACCACATATAAATTTGTTTCAAATTCTATCGTTTCTCAGAACTTCAAAAGAACTATCAAAATTTTCAATAAATATTTTTAAGTGGGATTGCAAAGTGGTTTATTGTATGTGAAATTATTGGTTTTGCCAAAATTAAAGAAAAAAATTAATAATTGTGGCTTATAATCGTAAAAATAATAAAAAATAGTTCATTTAATACTAAAATGTCAAAAAATAGTTAAATCTAAATAAATATAATAAAAAAAAGTTTCTAAAAATAAAATTGGGTAATACCTGTATTGTAATGAAATGTATCACTATTTCACCGACGCATCCTCTTTATTGTTCTTTGTTGTCTTCTGTTGAAAATAGTGAAAATTTTGCAGTATAGTTGAAAACATCCAAAAATTGTCCTATCAACTTAGGACAATTACAATTGATAAACCAGTAATATAAACCACCTTATGGTTCGTAACAAAAGCACGTCATCGGCTAATTCGGCCAGTAAATCTTCTACACCTAAAAAAACACATCGTAAAAACGCTTCTGAATCTTTAAGTTCAAATGACGATATTGTAAATAATCATCGTCGAGATTCAACATCTAGTTCTAGTACAACAAATGAATGGGGCTCGGTTCATAAACAAAATTTATATATTGTATCATTTCCAATAATATTTTTGTTTAATATATTGAGATCAATAATTTATCAATTATATTGTATATTTCGCTATATATATAGCGCATCAAGTCGTGTATTATATCGTCCAAATATAATTCGTAAAGATTGTAATTTAGAAGTAATTGTTAACAAAACCAGTGGAAGTACAATTTCAAGATTAAATGCGAGAAATCCTGCAGAGGATCAATTAGTTGCCTATTGTGGAAGTAATAATAATACATTAAACAATTGTAATAATAAAGAATTGGTTGAAATGTCTACACATCGTAGTGGGCCAGGGCCAGCTGATCCATTATTGGCTAAACAAAAACACCACCACCGTAGAGCATTTGAATATATTTCCAAAGCGTTGAAAATTGATGAAGAAAATGAAGGTAAATAAAATTTTTTGGTATTTTTTTTTTTGTGCAGCCTAATTCCCGAATTTTTGTAAACATTTTTGTCTATTTCTTCGTGTTCGTAAATAGTAAAAAAACGAGTTTCTTTAAATTTCCTTCTATGGGAACGATGATGAAGGCCAACAAATTAAAACAGAAAATTTTATATAAGTTTTTTTTCTAATATACCTACATACATAAATGTATTTAATGTAAACTATGTAGTTATTCATGTATTGTATACAAATAGTTTTAATGTTCACAATGTTTTGTACTTATTATAAGAAAATAAATACACAAGTATGTACGTGTGTATATGGCATATACGCGTACAATATGGATATAATTTCCATATCTGGAACAAAAAGCGTCGCTCATAGCTATTGTTTTCTGTTGTCTGTTATGCTTTTATGTCTAGCAAAAGCTAAAAAATGGAAAAAAATCAATACTTATTTGGGATATTACAATAAAAATAAGATCCGATTCTTTTATTTTAAAAACTTTTTTACAAAATTATGCTATAGAGTAAGTATGGATGAACAAATTGAAAATATGCAAAGTGGTGGTTAATCCGGTATGAAATACAATAATTGACGTATTTCATTATTAAAGTTGCATCTTAACATTGCGAGAGATGTTAAATTCATTCCTACCTACCTACCTACATACCTATGAATTTTAAATCGTATATTGTTTGTCTTAATAATTTTTAATTATTATTTGTTTGCTTTTATATAGATATTTCATATAAAAATATCAAATACTTCAATTTCAATAATCATTTTGTACATTCATACATTAAAAAATAATTATACTTTGACTAACCTCAGAATGTATTATACTTACTAATTTCAAATTCTATAACTTTTAAGCAAAATGTATCGAATATCATAAGCACGTGGCGTATTAAATACTTATTTATGATTTAATAATATTATTAGCTTTATCAAAAGAAATACTCTTGGCGCGAAACGTGGTTTTATGCTTGCACGAATTAGCGCACTATTAAATAAAACAAAAGATATACATATGTAGGTACAAGTGAATAGTTTACATTTATACTTTCACTTATTTCAGAACAATGGCAACGGGTAATCTTAATTTTTTAATTATTAATTAAAAACGCTTTATTTATTAAATTAAAACTTAAGAAGCATACATATATACCGAGCATATATCATATTATAACAGATTTTGAGTGTATATTATGCATTTTATATTTATATTATTGTACATACAGGGTGATTCTCCAAGAAGTTAGGAGCCGTATACCGTCGAGTAGAGGATCGAAAATGAATAAAATTTTTATTCGAAACATGGTGTTAAATTGAAACCGTTTCCGAGCTAGACGGATTTTAAGAAAATTTGTTTTTTTTTGTTTTTTGAACGGTTAATGGCCTAAATTAAAGATTAAGCAGCTGGGCAAAATCCTGTAAAGAGAATTTTGGAAGTTTCAACAGATTTCATGAGAAATTGTCGGAACAAAAAAACTATTTGTTTGAAGTTACATGGAAAAAAGTTTAATCAAGTGAAACACATTACATTTTTTAACATTGAGAAATTACACAAGTTCTACAAGAAAAACGTATTACCATATTGCCTTAGACTTAAGCTTTCAACTTCCTTTTCGTGTTCGTCATATTGACCTTTTTGTTTAAATAAGTTCTTCTCTACGTTCATTTGCTTAAATTCAGTATTTCTGGTCTTATAGATTGTCTTATCAGACCATTACCTAAAATATCAAGAGATTATGCAAGCAACGTGTTATTAAAATTTATAAATATTTTAAGTATTACTCGTCTTATTTTTCTTTAGTGTTTTATTAAATTATTACATTGATTATCTCGCTAAATACTGTCAAAAATACAGAATCGCCACCTAATGTAACTTCGACTTCCTAGTCGAAAATTTTGTAATCAGAGTTGAAATATTAAATTTCAAAGAAACCAATCTAAATTAAACTGAGATACTAAGAATTTACTTATAAACTTTTCTAAAATATTAAAAATGAAATTTAGAATAAATTGTGTTCGGTAAGGTTATTTGAATACTTATTTTGCAATTACGTTGAATTTGTGAACAATTCTAAACTAAATGTTTGATCAATCGGAAATATATATATATATATATATATATATATATATATATATATTAAAATACTATTTGGTTACTTTTTTTAATTTTCTCATTTTGCTGTTAATTCCGTTTTTTAGTGTTTTTTTATTTTTGGTGAATTTTCCAAAAGTATCTGAGAAAACTATCATTGAATCTAATTTACAAAACAAATCATAAGTTCTTGCATATTTCATTCACTTTACACTTTTTTAATTTCATGTTTTTTATATGAACCGAAATTTTTGGATTTCAAACCTTCAACTACCTCTGAAAAAAAAACAAAACGAAAAAGGGTAACATTGGAAACGAAATTTTATGCATTGATACTGTTCTCTTCTTTTTTTAATTGAAATGAAAAGTTATTGATCACGGTAATTTAAATACGAAATAAACCTTTCCTATATTTGTCAAATAATTTTGAATAAGAATTGTGCGGAGCAATATAAGTATAAGCACTATTTCTTTTTTTCACCAAGCGGCAAACAGTTAATTAATATAACCAGAAATTTAAACATATTATAAAAGCGAGTTGTCAGCAATACATTAAAACTTTGCAACTAACAACAATGGGAAATTAATTCAAAGTGTTAAAGTAGTTTAAACTCTGATTTTGAATAATAATCATTTTCGAATTTGTTAAAAAAATTCTCGACAATTAAAATCTCTTAATTACTTTACCTAATTTAAGTAACGTGAATCCTAAAATTAATTAAAATTTCCCTGTTATTGAAAAATATTGTACTTGTTAATGAAATCGAAAGAGAAAAAATACACCAATGACCAAGTGCCACAAAATTATCCTTTTGATAAGCATAAAAACTTTTTCATTTTTTTTCCTGATTTTAAATTTCCAGATTTTTTTTTTATTTTTAATTTTATGAATTTTTGAAAGTAAAAGTTTAACAAAAATAAAAATAGAATTATTGCAAGGCCGCTTTTTGTTACTTGTACTTACAATGAATTTCAATTAAACTTAAAGGTACATACTTGCATACCTAAATAAATATAAAAATAGGTTCACTTCAATCATTTTTCATTATTTTTACTATATTTCTAATGCATGAACAATATCGCGTGTCCTTAGATCGTGTTTTACTTTAAGACAAAGAAAAAAGTTCTGTAATTTTTCTAAACTAAAATTTTTCCTGTTTTTTTAATGATCCTACCGTTTATAATTAAGGTGAGTATTACGATGGCACCGAATTACATTAACTTTTGGTTAGACATGTAAGGTTCAGTAACTTTTTAAAATAATGTTTTTAAAATAACATTTTTCTCTTTTTTAAAATAATATTAACAAGATTTTCTTGAAATTTTATATAAAACCTACTTTTGATAATACGATGTGTCACATAACTTTTCGAGGAAATCAAGATTGAGGTAACTTAACTTCTACTATGGGTCAAGTTAAAAGTTTTTCCCTTATATTTTATCATTAACCAAACTTTGATTTTAGGGGCACATTTGACATTTTTAATCACATTTCAACAAACGGCATTGTTTAAAATTTATATTTCCTCAACATTTTCGCTAAAGCACTAAAAACATAATTAATTACAAAACTATGTTTTTATGTGCTGATCACATTAGGGTTTTTTATTCATTGTTAGCCATTTTTACCATGAACAGCAAAATGTTCATGTATATATATGTATACATATATAGTTTATATCTATATATAGATTTGCTTTTTCCTTATTTGTTTTGATTTTTAATATTTTGTTGTAAGTTTACAAATACTTATATTTTCATGCATTCATTTCTACAAAATTCAATTCCACAAAATTTCAAAGTATCTACTATAAAGCTGAAAAATTTTCAAAAAAAAATTATTCAAAGTATAATTTCCAAATCCTTTTTGTACAAATATGAACATGAATACTTATCTTAATCCTTAATGAGCAGAAATGTAATGTAAGAGAAATTAAGCATTTAAGTACTTAAATCCAAATGGGAAAATATTCAGTCGCTTAAATTAATTTTTTGTAAAGTAGCTCATTTCACGTTTACAAATTGAGTCATTGATTAAATTTGTTGCACCAATAAAAGCTTGGAAAATTAAAACAAATCCTTTTATAAACCTAATATTTTATTGAATAGTAAAATATTAAACGATCTATTTAAGTGTCACTGAAGTTATTGCAATTAGTTTAGAAGTGGTTGATGCCATATCAAACCTACGCTTTCTAGTTCCGCACTTACAGATCTGCGCTAAATATTTCTGGGGACATCAAGGTTTCTTGACGCTTTTGGATTCTACTCTATCCGAATGAGCGCTATTTTACTTAGAGGTTTTCTTTGAGTATCTTCCATTCACCTTAATCCTTTTCTTGTCGATAGATTTCTCGTCTGTTATGCAGAGCTCCTCATTGTTATTAGCTTTCAGCCAGAATATTCGGCATATGATTCTGTAGCCTCTGTGTGATAGCTTTTGATGTTGGCTATGTTTAGCTTTGAAGTGCATTAATTGATAAAAAAATATCGTTTACAATATATTACATTATTTAAAACCGCAATGTAATTTTAAGTCTTTAGTTTTGAGTTGAATTTAAAATTTGAAGGTAATACTCGTAGGAATGTGGTAAACTGATTACAGCTACTGTCAAATTTTAATTCCAAAACATACAATACGTAAACTTCAAACTTTCAACATATACTTACATAATGTATGTATGTATTAAGTAAATAAAAAAAATTTTGGTAGTGAAAATATCTTTTAAAAATTCTTTAATAAGTTTTTTTTTCTGTTATATAGAATTTTCTCAATACGAGCGGTAATACAAATTTCATACATATGTACAAGAGCGTAATATCAAGCAATATTTTAATCAAATATTAAATAGTTTAATGTACTAATGTAAATAACCTGTGCAACTTTGCTT